TTTTGTTTTGTCTATGATGTTCATATGGGTTCTGATAAGATATTGTCTTTTAGGAGTAGTTTGTGTTTCATTTTGATTTCTGTGTTTTTTTGCTGTAAAGAAATTCTACTCCAACATACAAGAAAACAACTTGTTCTATTTTGTAATATAAGCTTTTATTATGGTAATATATAAGAATGAGTCCCAACCAAAAGACCCCACAAAGTCACGGTCCTTGGACAAGCCCAAGAAACCAAAAAAAAAAAAAAAAAAAAAAAAAAAAAAAAAAAAAAAAAAGGATTAAAGTCCTAACAAAACATGTAGTTAGTCTAAGAAATACTAGACAAAAAAGGCCAGCAATAAAAAAAGCAAGCCATCTAGGCACAAATCAAACTGCACAGTTTGTACATAAAGGTCTGCAGCAAAAAAGTCTCAAAAGGCCAGCCACCTTCAAGGAAATCCAACAAAAGCTTCAATCCCCAACTAGCTGAAAAACCAAGACTCACCACAACAAAACTCCTGCAAACCACACACCCAAGGACATGAGAAAATAAGCAGCACCTCCTGGCAATAATAGAAACTCCACAAAGAAGGTTTGTAACCAAATCCATGACCTACAACTTGGGTTAGCCACATGCCATTCTTAACACCAAAGGCCTCGCAGCATAGGCTAAAACATAACATAGGCAAAAGTCTCAAAAATTGAGCCAAAACCGAAATAAAAAGTAGAAACCGATTGAGAAAAACTGAAACACCTGAAACACCCAACAATCACTCTCACCAAGGAGTACCAGGCTCGATCATCTCCTGGCGGCCATGCAAGCCGTAACATCAGCAAACATATCCATACTAACAGGCACTTTATAGACTTCGACATATGTAAAGGAATCAAGCAAATCACCCAATACACATTTTTGTTCATCATTCCTATTAAGGCTGTCAATTAGTTCTTGAGAGTAGGACAAACATTGGACTTCTTTAACACCATTTTCACGAGCAACACACAGTCCATGATATAAGGCAAGATATTCTGCATGTAGTGTGTTAGAAGCTAGCACATACTGTTCTAGTAAAGTCAAATTTCCACAGCGTGTATCATGCATTACAATGCCCACTGCTGATTTTTCTTGGTTATTCCAATCTCCAGAAATTTCAATTTTGACAATCTGTCTTGATGCACATTCTACATTGTTTTTTGCAACATGTACTGTATAAGAGAAAATATTGTAACTAATTAACTGACTTGATGAAAGCAAAAAAAAGTGTATTGACATCAACCAAAGAAAAAATCAAATAAAGCCTCCATTATTGATATCCACCATTCCAGATTGATTTACAATGCTTGCACTGCCTTCAGTGTTAATTAATTTGGCCTCATTGTTGATGCTATGATTCTCTTCAAAACCTAATCATTCATAAATTAAAGAGTCAAATGAGTCATGCAACAATGTACCATTATCACTTTTAAGAATAAATAACCGTAAGAAAACACAAAAAAGCCACTTACATGATAAAGGCACCCATATCCTCATTTGTTCTAATTCTTCATTCGAAACTTTACAACTCATAATCTCCACTATGTTTACAATCTGATGTATTTACAGAACCTCAATTTGCAGAACACAATAATGCAACAACATCAACCATAACATTTTTTTTCTTTGTCATACAAATTTGACTTCATAAACAAACAAAGCACAAAACAGTGGTGACAATGCAATTAAATGCTATCAAAGCAAGGAAGAAATACTTGCCACTCAACCGTCTTCCGGACTGCTAGATTGAGTAATGTCAGAGTCGCAGCATCAAGGTCTGACTAAATTGAGCAAGGGCAACCACTTCACGTTTCAGAATCTCAATAACCTAAACAAAAATGCAACTTTATCTTAAAAAAAAAAAAAAAAAAAAAGGAGAGGTTACAAAGTACACAAGAGATCATAGCATACATGCTTTTAATTGAAAGGTGCTTTCTTCCTTTTTGCAAGTTCTACAACCTTAGTAGATAAAGAGAGAAAGAAGATGAGGGGCGAAATAGAGAAAGAGAGAAAGGGGACGTCGGTGATAGAAAATGTGGAAGAGAGGAGATAGGGAAGAGATAGCGAAAAAGAGAGAGGAGATGTGGGCCATAGAAAAAAGTGGAGAGAGAAGATGGAGGCAGAGACGCAGAGTAGAGAAAGAAGAAGTGGGCGATGGAAAATGTAGAAGAGAAAAGATAAGGGGAAGAGATAAAATAAAGAGAGAGAGAGAGAGAGGAGATGTGGGCCATGGCAAAAAGTGGAGAATGGAGATATCACAAACAAGACAAGCGACATTTAATTTGAAAAAAAATTACACCCTCAAAACGACATTTAAAAAAAAAAACAGAGGGAGTAACATAATAGATTATATAATAAAGTGATATATAACATAGTAAATCTAATAACATAATAGCTTCATATTTTTTTCTAAATGTAATCAATAATTAAATATTATGAGATAACATTTCAATTAATAAATAATAAATATAGTATGGTAAATTGATGAATATAACATATTGTATAATCAAATGATGTATAGCATGACAAATTTGATAACATAATAGCTTAATTAAACACAGTATGGTAAATTAATGAATATAACATATTGTATAATTAAGTGATATATAACATGACCATTTTAATAATATAATAGCTTAATTAGATATAATATGACAAATTTATGAACATAACATATTGTATAATCAAGTGATATATAACATGACAAATTTAATAAGATAATAGCTTAATTAAACCTAAATTAATCACACATTTGTATTGATCATATATTACAATAGACTCTCATAGTACTATGAATTTATGGGTATTGATACAAAATATATATGTAGACAGTAATGATAATATATATATGATAACCTATAATTTTAATAATTTAATAACATATTAAATATATTTAATATATGATTAATATACGTATGATAATAATTTTGTATACACACAATTACACGTTATATATATATATATATATATATATATATATATATATATAAAACAAATTAATCACATATATGTGTTAAATTTATAGGTGTTGATATAAAATATATGTAAATAGTTATAATAATATATATATGATAACATATAATTTTGATAATTTAATAACATATTAAATATATTTAATCTATGTATAATAATAATTTTGTATATACATAATTACACACACACACACACACACACATATATATATGATAACCTATAATTTTGTAAAGTCTAAAAGTAATGACTAAACGGTGAGTTTTGTATTTGTCTATAAAAGAACAAATTGTTCTGTTTTTGTACATTTATTCATTCAATACAGAAAATTCAGTTCTAGTTATCTTCAGCTTGAGTTTCATTTTCTTCAAATGTTGAATTAAATAGGTGTATATTTATTTTTTTAGAGCATGAATTGGAAAGTTGGTGTATATTTTTTATTTGAACAGGTATTCGAATGAGTTATTCGAACAGATATTTATGAGTTAATCGAACGATCACGAACATGTCCTTTTGCTAATCGAACGAACTCGAACAACCATTCTGTGTTCATTCGATTTCGAACACCCCTTGGTGCTTATCGAACGAGTTTCTAACGGGGGTGTTCGGTTCGTTTGCAAGCCTAACTCTGTTATGTAAATGAGTGCTATACAAACCCATCATAACTTGTTTCCAAGGGGGCTGGAAAATAGTTCTAAGAAAATCTTCCTATAAATTATACATATTTTTTGTAAGCTCTCAAAAGCAATAAGATAACAGTGAACGTAGGTTTAAGTTCTAATTTGTCAAACCACTTTAAAAATTGTTCTGTGTTCTTATTTGTGACTCTTTCTTTTTTGTTCATTATTGATTTTTATTAAATCATGTACACATCTATTCCGATTTTGACAAGGTCAATCGAAATTCCCTTATTGGTATATATTTCCGTATCAACATTCATCATTTACAAGTTTCGTCTATACTTTTGATGAGCCTGCAAATCGAAGTATGTAAGTATCATATCATATGGTGCATATATAATGATTGCAGGTCCGATTATGACTTATGAGACTTGAGTTTATTTATGAAGAAAGAAGGAGATGTTTTTATTTTTCAGTTTTCTTATACAACACCAAATCCTAAAGAGTTGGATTGTTAGTAAAATTTAAGTTTAAGAGTATCTCCAAATGACTCTTTATATGACCATAACTTTTTATTATAAAGAGTTTATCCATAAAAACAAGAGTTCAATAGACTCTTTATCTTTAAAATATAAATTAGAGAGTTTGTTTGGCCCTCCACATTTAGAGAGTCAAATTTCACTCTCTATCATAATTTTAATTAATAAACTACAAGTTTCTATGCATTTTATTTATTAATTATTTCTTCCATGAAATCTCTTTCTTAAAAATAAAGATCATCTTCATTAAATTTAAAAAGTCCATTGGATTTGAATAAAAATTGTATTCTTTATATTTTAAAATTAATGAAAATATTTTTTATTTATATGAAAAATAATCTTCAAAATAAAGAGCACCATTGGAGATGCTCTTAGACCATCTCTAAATGATTTTTTATATGATTGAAACTCTTTATTATAAAGAGTTTTTCCATAAAAATAAGAGTCCAATAGACTCTTTATTTTTTAAATATAAATTAAAGAGTGAGTTTGACTCTTTACAGAGTTAAATTTGACTCTCTATCTCCATTTTATTTAATAAATTACAAGTTTCTATGTATTTTATTATTAATTCTCTTTTTTATTTATTAAATTTAATTTAAAGAGTTTATTAGATTTGAATACAATTTTTATTCTTTATATAATAAGAAATTAACGAAGATATTTTTTATTTATGCGATATATGTTCTTTAAAATAAAGAAGGCTATTGGAGAGACTCTTATTAAATTATATATTTATATAAAATTATAAATGAGGTTAAAACACTCTGTAAAAAAGCCAAAACGATGCGTTTGGCTCCCCTTTTTTTTATTAATTTTTCATTGAAGTCTGGAGCCTTCTAAACCCCATGCCCAATTAGAGAGAAAACCCTAGATGTGTTAAAACCTCAATACCCTACTTTTGACTTGCTTCGCTGAAGAACAAATGGTGTGGTTTCAGTGCGAAGACTGTGGTGAGAACCTCAAGAAGCCAAAGCTTCCCAATCACTTCAGGATTTGCTCTGCCTCCAAGGTCTCTTTTTCCTTTTTCTTTTATTAAAAAACACACCTCTGTTTGGTAGCTAAGAAAATTTGGATTATAAATTTTCGTCAATCGTTTTTTATTATATGTTAATAATGATTTTTATTGGATTATTTGATTTTTTTTTTTTTTTCTATTACTTAGCTATCTTGCATCGATTGCGGAGAGATATTCGGGCAGCAAAGTGTTCAGAGCCACACGCAGTGCATTACTGAAGCAGTGCGTTTTCTTTCCCTCTTTTCTAATGCTTCTTATATATTACTAATCAAATTGAGCTTAATCATGTTTACTCTTTGTTTAAAATTTTCTTGTGGTTTGTTTGGCTCATTAGATCATTAAGAGTCCTTTGTTACTTATGGTATTAATGAGTTTGTTCAACCATTTCTTTTAGTATTAAAAACTATTTTCCCGAGCTTTAATTAGAAATTGCTTAAACGTGTAATGTGATTGTGGACCTCAAACTTGATCCGCAGTTTCTCTGTATTGGTAGTTCCAGATGAATGGATCTTACATAATTTTGGTCAGGCTTCCAGGATTTTTTAGGGAGCTATATTTTATAATGAGAGTGAAGTTTATGATCTCTAGCTGGAAAATGACATCCGCCTATTTTTCTGGAAAATTTTATTTTCAGGAGAAATATGGTCCTAAGGGCCAAAATAAAGTGTCAAATGGTACCACTCCTAAGTCTAACAAGGACTCAAAGCAAAAACCTGAACTTGATATAAATGTGGGGTTATCTGAACAACCCCCATGGTTTTGTAGGTATGTATTGTTTGTCTAATTTATTTTGTTTCAGTTCTTAGATAAGGTCCCTTACTTAAGTTTAGTTACTAGGATATTGTTAAAGAACTGAAGTATTTACATTTAAGCTCCATTGTGTGAAGGCATATTTGAAAGCAGCTGGTGTTTTTTTCTTCTGAAATGCATTTGTTAGGTCTGATTTAACAATCTATTATTATGTTTAGCATTGTTGATATTGTTTAGCATCTTGTTTGTAAATTTCAGGACTACTCTGTCCAGTAGGTTTTACGTCAATTTTTCGGGGTTTAATATTTAATCATTTACACTTTGTTTGGTGGGAGGAAGGAAGCAGTAAACAAGGGAAGTGATAGAGGGGAAAGGAAATGTGATTTGGAAGGAAGGGAAGGAGGGCCAAACCTCACAATTTTAGTTCTTTCATATATGAGAGGAAAAGGGAGGGAAGAATGAAACTCGTTCAAATATATTTTTACTCTTTTCCTACCTAGAAATTACTGACAAAATATCACACAACACAAGCCCACATAAGACTATTCCGTTATTGATGCACCAAGATCTTGAAAGATCTGGACCTTAAATTGTGACAGTTGAATTTGATTAATGGTTCAATTTTTCAAGTATGTACTTATTTAATAAGATAAAGTTTGTTTGATGTTAGACAATGTAGATGAAAAGAAGGGGACAAAGTCAGAGTCATGTGGGATTAAAAGAGAAACCCCTCTGCCTCTTAACGGCCACACGCCTCTCCTCTTATTCAGAAGAAGCTCTGTAGTTGAAGAACAAAATCCAATTTTGGAAGCTCTGCAACTTACGAATGTAACAAATCTAAACAAAAACAAAATTAAATGAATCTAAAAACTCTTTTCAAGACCTGTCATCTCTCGCTCTCCTCACAGCTCTTTCCCTAATCCTCTCTAACTCGACCACAAAACTCTAAGGCGGGATTGCAGAGGATGAATTTGGCATTCATAGCAATTGAAATTTAACAGATGGGTTCTTGTTAGAAATAATGTCCAGGAATGATAACCATTCAAACAAGTAGTAACTTGATGTATCTAAAGCATAAATCAACTTTTTTGATAGGTACCTAGATAAGTTTTAGCGGGATCATCATCAACAAATTATCACTGCTTGTTCACCTATGGTTAGGCAAAACTTTTTAATAGTTACTTTGCAGTATTAACCTTTTTATTATTTCTTTAAATACTCTTATGTTTTCAATCGTTGGATATGAAACGAGTGGAAGCACCTGGTTTGGATATAGCCAATATAGACCTCAACTAGTCCATTATAACGGGGAAGGATCATGGAACCATATGCACTTTGGACAGTTGAATTAAACTTAGCATGTACAATTAATGCACCTTAGAAATAATAGTCTCAACCGTTCAAAGTGATTTGCTCTAACGATTGAGGAATTATAAAGAAAAACTGGTGTCATTGACTCTAGCCCTATCCACGCTCAACTCACTTATGGATACTGAATTTTGGGAAGTGAAAACCATCTTTTTCTCTCATTTCAAACCTATTAACCTGGATGGAAGGAAGGATGGGTCCCTTCCTATCCCCTCCCCATCTTTCGTATCCTGTTTTTCTCTGTATTTGGTTCCTTTTCTTCTCCTTTCCTTTTAACAGGCATTTTTTTATGCCGTAGCAAATTTTAAAGGCAATTGTCTAGTGCAAAATTGAAGTTATTCCCTTTTCACCCATGATTTTGGATCATACCATTATAGGTGGCTGTAAAAGTAATAGATGGGCCATCTGGTGTTATGTCCAATATAGAATACTGAGAAGTAGCTTTTCTCTCTTTTACTGAGTTTGTGTGATTTGAATACATAAAACTCAGTTTGTAAATTTGTATTTGTAACTATATCTCTTCTTGGGTTTAGGATCTGAACCACTACTTTCTACTTTTTTTTTTTTGGGTAGCCTTTGTAACACTAAAGCTACCAGTAGGCAGACCTTGCTTCTTCACGCTGATGGAAAGAAGCATAGGGCAAAGGCCCGAGCTCACCATGCTGCTAATCAACCCAAACAGTCGGAAGAAGCTCCAGATATGAAGCTTTCAATGGAAAACACTGCAAAGGGTGAAGTGTCCAACAATAAACATGTAGAAGAACCAAAAGTGCAAGACTTTCATAAAGATGAAACCATGCATATAAATACGGAAACAGTGGATGTAAACTTGCCATCTAGTAAAAAGAGAAAACATCATGCATCTGAAAATGATGGTACCAGGAAAAAGGCTGGGAGTGAGGCTTCAGCTGAAGCTGGCAATGGGGAAGTGATCCAGGCAGAAGAAGCAGAGAGGTCATTAAAGAAAGTAAAAAACAACGTGCTTAAAGAAGACAAGTTGGCTGAATGTATATCTACCAATATCAGTGAAAACTGTAAAACACAAATAAAGTGGAAGAAGCTGATCAAGTCAGCCCTGAAAACTGTATGTATTATTTATAATATCTTAGACTCCTGCATTTCAATCATATTTCAATATGGTAATTGGTCATGGTTGTATGAGGACTTGATCTTCACATCTGATGCTACTGAGATAAACTTCTTGTCATCGCATAGTTGTCCCCAAACCTGCATTTACCTTTTGTTTTGGCTTTTGTGAAGCAGCATTCGGATGGAGTTGTGAAGTTGAAAAAACTGAAAAAGCTTGTCCTGAAGTCTCTCCAGGAATCTGGCGTCCAGGGAGATAAAACACAACTCAATAATATGCTTGAGCAGAAGGTTAGTCTATTGAAAGGGGAGTGTCTTTGTTTTCTTTTTCTGTCATTATTATATTGTGTTATGTTTTATATTAAGAATTAATAATTTATCAGCAACCCTGTTATTGTTTTATGATTTTCGTGTTTCATTTTGGGGGTTTGCGCAGATCAATTCAAGCTCCAGGTTCACAGTTGATGGCAAATATGTCCGTCTAGTGGCCAAAGATTGAAAGTGTTTAGGGAATTGCTAGTTGATAATAGCATCAATTGGAGTAATTTTTTTAATTCTATTGATTACACCATTGGTTAAGAATATACGTTTAGGCGGTCCTTGTTTTTGCGTTTGGGCTAAGATATCTGTTACTCGATGGAGCCTATGCTTTGTACTCCTCTTTGTCCTTTATTACGAAAAAAAAAAAATTGTTATTTATAATGTAATGATATTATAGATGACAGTTTGGGTGCGAGTTTAATTAAATTTTGAAGAGGAAATTGATTGGTATTCTCGTATTGCTAGCACTTTTTGGTATATTGTATATTTCTCCATGCTAGCCATCGTAATAGACATATTAACACCATGCTGTTAAACAATGGAAAAATATTATATATGGTGGACTAATAGTCTCCTGATCTATGTTCGTAATTTATCCCTGAGGTACTACCATTGTTTTAAAACCCGGACCGGAGGGCAAATCGTTTTGTTGTTTGGGTCACGGTTCAATCGGTCCAATCGGTTGGACCGATGACGTCAGCAATATTTTATTTTTTAAAAATTACTAATTAACCCCTTAAATTTTAATATATTACAAAAATTTCCCTAAAAAAGTTTAAAGTGGTCCCTAAAATTTTTATTTATTCCAAAAATGCCCCAATAAAATTACCAATTAATCTCTAAACTTTTGATATATCTTCAAAATACCCTTATAAAATTACAAAGTAACCCTCATAATTTTAAAATATTTCAAAAACCCCCTTGAGACCTAAACCGGACCGGAGAAGCTACCCGTTCCTGGTCCAACCGGCCGGTCCGGTCCGGTTTTTAAAACAGAGGGTACTACAGAATAATTTTCTCTAGTATTTGGGATAATAATTCGCATATATAATTTACACTATAATTACACTATTTCATTGTAGTTTTTGTGATCTAATTAACATATTTCATGCAATCTAAGGAAGAATACCTCAATGAAAAATTGGATTGAACTTCTTAGTTGATTGTGTTTGCAGAGAACTTTTGACACAAATTGGAACAGCTGAAATGTCTTAACAGCCAACAAAGTATTTGCATTCAATTGATATACTAATTTTATTTTCCCTTATAAGTTAACCATGAAAACAGAATCGCCCCATTAATTGACTTGTTAATGAGCTTTTACTGAATCACAACTGGACGGCATAATAATAATAAAAGTCAAAAAAAAGTTTTATAAGCTTTTTTAAAAGAGCAAAGCTAGTTTTACAAAGATAAATATAAAGAAGACATACAAAGACAATTACAATTCTTGATTTTTATGATTTCTCTCTTTTTCTCTCTTTTTCCGTTTTTTCTTTTCGCTAACCCTCTTTGTATGGGTCATTTTTCTTTCCCAAATAATGAAATAATAATAGGAGTGACCATTAAAATTCTTACCCAAATGATAATTTCAAGGTCTTAAAAAGATTAATTGAAATACATACAAAAACATCCCTCGTAATCAAAGGAAAAAAAAAAAAAAAAAAAACCACCGACTTCTACTTTAGCTCTAACAATTTAACAAATGGTAAAATTTATGACCTTAACAAGTAAAAATGGGTTATATGATACTCATCAAATTTGCTCTTGCAACCGAATTCTACAATAAATGGCATCCTCGCATTACATATCAACAAATAACAACGTATTCCATAAACCATCTCATCAAATTTGCTCATAGAGAAATGACTATTCAAATTTCACTTGCTTATGAAGTGCTACCATATATTCTCTCCCGTAATTCTCTGCAAACTGAAACGTTTTCTCTAGTATACATGAATCCCAAAGGAAGCTCAACTTATGTGACTGAAAGTTCCATGAATAAATAGCCATCACAAATGCCGGGAAAAGTCTTGTAACACCCAACTTTCTGCTCCTGATCCAACATTCTTATCTACATATGGTGGCACTTTCTGGCTGTTCAGCTTTGTGTTTTTGTGTTAACATGTATAGTATAAAGGTGTTACGAGCACAGTTGGAATTTGAACCAGACTACATCAGTCGAAAAGCCACTATGACTAACAACACAACAGAACATCCCATTGCCTGCAGCAACAATAACATACAAAAAACCATTTTAATCTGTCTCTAGATGACAAACAAACGGAACTGGATAAACTGAAAAAATTAGAGATGCAAGTATTTCATCAGAATGAGACAAAAGAATAATATGATCTGATGGTCATACACTGAGAATAGTTGTGACTATTAGTCTTGCTTATATATGAGAGAGAGAGAGAGAGAGAAAGAGAGAGAGAGAGAGAGAGAGCTCTTACAGCGATTGCAGAAGCAGCAAGGCCTGCTCGCTCCCTAGGATCTTTGCGATAGTAATTTCCAAAATAAAGGAATGTCGCATAGTACCACATCAAGGGAAAAAGGAATCCTAGAAGAAAACTGTAACAAAAGATATGACTATGAGATTAAGAAAACAAGGTTTCAGGAAGGAGGAAAAATGAAAAATACTCACGAAAACCATCCAATCCCACAGCCAAAGCATGGAAGAGGTTTGTCGTAGATCCCTATCTGGAAGTCCTCTGGATCTCTAATGAGGGTATATTTGCCTTTTTCCCGATCAGTAGCATCTGGCGTTTGCCCTACCACCACCAACATGCCTCTTAGCAAACTGGATAAACATTTATTTATTTATTTTTGCCAGAAAAAACATCTGATACAAAGAACAATTTGCTTTGAAGAAGTGTCAAATCAAGAAAAAGTAAGGTCTGACAATGGACCAATTGTGTACACTTATTTCTAAGTCGTCCTTCTGCACTGGCATTATAAACTTGAAATGACAAAGAAGCAATTCAAAAAGAAAAAAAAAAATGATGCAATTGAAAGAGGAACATAGAAAAATGTCATGTGCTGATTTAATTACATTGCATGTAGCAAAGGGTTAAACTGTAGATTATATTGAAATTAAGATTAATCATTGAATATTGAAGTCTTGTATTTCATAGCCCATGTGATCGCAACTTAAGAATAAGACACTGGACTGTAGACAATATCCCACATATAAAACTCAAGCACCAATTCATAGAATTTTAAGAATATCCCACATCACCAGTTCATAGAATTTAACTTCAGCAGCAGACAAGAATGGATAACAAATGCATATAAGACACAAATAATTTAAAAATGAACCAAGAAAATAAACATGAAACATAATCCACTACAGACATGGAGAGAAACATTTACATTTGCTGCAGGATAAGTGTCAAAAAATTAATATGGAATATGCTTCAGGTCCTTGCAGGATCACTACCTTTAAATACAGAATAATATCGTGCAGATGGCCTCAAAAGATCAAGATGCTTATCAGAGACTGATTTCACCAACTCAAGGCCATTTTTCAAACCTTCTGTGTCCTCCATAGTAGTTTCTGCAATAACATGAAGTGATGCTTTATAGTTAGGAAGTATGTAACTCCATCTATCTTTTCATGTAATCATTCTGTTCCTTCTACTTCTTCAAAAATCTTTCCCATGATATTTTGTCTATGGGCATAAAAACTACCCATTATCTTTAATTACCATCTAGAAGTTGCGTGAACCAAAATATGCTCACTTATTCTTTAGCCTTAGCAAATATATATGATCTAGAAATATATTCATCAAAGATATTTGAGAACCCATTTCATACACATAAATTGGGAAATAGACATGGTAACAGATATTTATGTTATTATTTAATCATAGCATCCAGCACTTGGTAGCTAGCTAACTAGAAAACTTTTTGAACAAAATAAAAATCTTTTTAACATTAGCATCATAAAAGATCTTACAAGGAAATGTATTCAGCTCTTCAACTACACTACTGATGAATGTTATATCAGCTAAAATGGAATTCCAAATTTTATTATATTAGTTTTCATTTTAATCATCCTATGCACAGCATAGTGCCTCACACCAGCTTATATGAGCAGTATCATCAAGTTCTCTACTGTGGTAAAGGAATGTGAGAACTTATCTCAAAGTCATTTTGGAAGAAAAAATAATACACCAAAAGTGTTATATTGCAGCAATTCTGCTTCCATCTTAATCATTCAAATGGCATGCACCCATTTACAAAAGAAGTGAAACAAATACAGAGAGACAATAAAGGTCAAGTACTTTGGTCCATGTGTACTGAAGCAGATATATCTGGCCAGATGAAGCGCACAGTTATTTTTTCACACAAAAAGGTTCCTGCTTCAAAACGTAAAGGAGCGTTTGAGTTTTCACTTTTCAGATTATGCCATGATATCCCAAAAACTTTGCATTCTTCATCTAATGTACACAACCATTCTCTAAAAAATTGAAAGAAGGCAAAGGAAAATGTACAAGAAGTAAACTAATAGCCAAGTCTTCACCAATTCTCTAACTTAACAGTTACACCGAGATTAACAATCAATAATAACAATACCCTCTTTTCTTTTTCTTTTTCTTTTTCTTTTTAACTTAAAGCTATACAATATAAGGAAATATCACTACATCAAATTAAACATCAATATATAACACAAAATGCCACAAAATACCCCCTTTGACATTGAACGAAAAGGCACATAACTCATATAATTAGGCTCCAGACAGCCAAAGAAAATATATGTACAACTCAATATTTCTTTACCAGCCTATATACCGATACAAAAAATGTCAGTACCCCACTACGAGAAGAATTCTCTAATCCCAATTGCTTGACCTATACTGTTTATTGTTTTCCTCATCGATTAAAATTCACCCACAATTATTAACGACAGGGGATCGATGCATGTCCTATTCCCACAAAATTACACTGGGCAGAAAACAAAAAGTAAGAGGCAAATTTTCTTTCTTTCTTTCTTTCTTTCCCTGGTTTAGTTAGTTTTTGTTAATTTCTTTACACATATAACATAACCAAATAGCTTACAACATCAATCAGGTTAGTAAAAAGAAAATTTAGAGAAATTCCTGAATACCCATCTAAAACTAAGCAAAGACTTATCTTAAAAAAAACAAGAAAATCAACAAAACAGAAACACTTACCTCCTATACAACATTTATTAATCTCATAAAAGAAACAAGCACAAACAAAGCCATCAAAAAATAGAAATTAAAAAAAAAAAAAGGGAGAGAAAGAGAAGATGCTTGCCTGAAGAGAGATAAAGCTGAGAAGTGAAAAGTTGGGTTGATTTTGTTAATATTTGGAAGAGTAACGGAAGGAAAGAAAGGTCGTCGTTGTCGTAAGTAAGTTTTTTAAATGACAAGCAATTTGCATTTGCTTCCTTCTTCAGTATTAATCGGTTGAGACCCGTCGTTTTGTGCTCTTCTTTGGACTATTTTTATTTTATTTTTAGGCGAGTAGTTGTTTTCACTTTCATTATTATTTTCTTTATTTTATACTTTTTTTTTTTTTTTAAAGAAGATAAACACTATTCATCTTTTAAAGGATTCAATTTAATTTAAAATCATTCTATTTAAATTCTAAATTTATACCTAATTAACAAATGCTAGATATTTGTTTATTTAAATAAATATATAAAATAAATCTCTTTCTAAAAATAATTGTGTTTTTCATTTTCATTCACTTATATCCATCCAACCGTTGTTTTAATTTATTCCCCGTCTCAAGGAGGTTTTTAATAATTATAAAAATGAGTTCAATAATTTTAAAAAACTTTGGGTAGATGAAATAAAGCTTTGAAGCTATTGCACAATTTTAGAGTTTGAAAGTTAATTGAAATCGTGTAAATTGACTCAATCCCGATGATTAAAAAAAAAAAAAAAAAAAAGGTCTTAAACGATTGTTGCCGGCAATGATTGGTAAACATCATGCCCTTGTCTTACCCTTTTCTTTTTCACAATTTATTCTATGCTGCTATGCAGTTTGTTAAGTAAAATGCACCTCCTTTACTACCACTTTTCTATCAATCATGTACATTATATTTATGACTAGGAATGAGTAGTGATTGTACATAATACCGAGGTTTGGTGTACTTAAATACTTAAAAAAACAAACAAATTGATGCTTTTGGTACTGGGGGATGATGATTTGAATTATCTATCTGACTTTGGAAGTTCCTAATTACACTTTACCCTCGAAATGAGTTACGGAAATACTTCAAATTTCTTGTATTATCTTCTCTCTAAAACAAAAAGATTTTGAATGCAAAATTAGAAGATCTTTACCCGAGAGTTTTAAGGTATGATGTGCGTAAATTGACTTGAACATCTCTCATAACAAAAAAAAAAAAAAATTAATAATATTAAATCCCCAGGCTCCAGCAACTCAACCAAAAAGTCTCAAGTCAATTAAAGACAACAACACCAGTCTTTTTAACTTTTAAGAAATAGGAATTGTCAAGTTGAAGGTGGTTAGGACTTTGAAGTGAGACCCAGCAAAGGGTTGCTGCTTGCGTGGGAATTGAAGAAACAAATAAACTGGAAACTAAAGGAATCAAACAGGATTAAATTAAGGTTTAAGTTATGTTAATTGTTAAGGCGTGATTGAAGGATAGGTATGAAACTAACTAATTGGTGGAGTCAGAGTCAGAGTCAGTCATCAACTGCCATTCCAATGGGCTGCTTTTTTAGGTTTATTAAATTAAAATCATGAATGGGCTCATCTTTATCTTTCCTTGTTCAATTAACTAGAGATTATCCTATTTATACCTGTAAAGACCTTACACCATCCACCCGAGCTTTATTTACTTCTTTCTCAATGAAACGAGCCCAGATCCAGCAACAACCAAACAAAAGAGTGAAAGCCCACACAAGAACGTCAACCGGGCCCCTCGTTTCACCATCTTTTTTTTTTGTTTCTCCACCCATCGAACTCCCAAGCTACCCAGCCATACTGTGCTCCGTGTCCAGCTCTTTCTGGAGCGCCACGTTCCAGACCTTCCGCACTGTTTACAGAGGACACGTTATACTTTCACTACTTTTATTCTCTATTTAAATACAATACTCTATTTTCATTTCTCTCTGAAAATTCCCGAGCATCAGCGCAATTGAAGAGAAGATGTCAGTCGTAGCCAACGGTGATAGCCATGAAACCGAAAACACCAGTGATCAGAGTTATGTTTTAGACATATACCCTCTTAGTAGCTACTACTTTGGATCCAAAGAACCCATTCCTTTTAAAGACCAGACTTTAGATGATCGTATTCAAAGGATGAAATCCAAGTAATTTTTTTATTTATTATCATTTTCTTTCTTCATGTTAACTGTCTTTATTTACTCTGGTTGAACTGTTTATCGATTTTTTCCCCTTTTTTGTTGTTCTTTTAGCTATGCTGCACATGGCTTGAGGACTTGCGTGGAAGCAGTTATTCTGGTTACTTCCCTTCTCTCTTTCATCGCAATTTTTTTTCTTGTCATATTATTATTTTTAATTTTTTTTTTTTTTAAGTGATAATCTTTTGTTTTGTTTCGATAAATTGTTATTGTTGTTTCTGATTGGTGATTGCTAGTTTATAAGTATATGCTCGTATGCTAATATGTATAGCATTGTCAGTTCCAAGTTATTGGGATGCTACTGAGAGATATGATCTTGTTTTAGTCTAGGTAGTATTGCTAGAGCAAGTGATTATGACGTCTATTGTGCTTTGTACCTGTAACAATTTTGTTAGGTGACTAATTTTGTCGAACCATTTATCTCATTTGAGTACAGATGAAAAAATGTAATAATAAATGCACTCAAGATGCTTTCATTATGGAGAATGTTGAAAGGTCACTTATGATGCTTTTCGAATTTTCAATAACTTGAATACATAGAGATTAACACCATAGTATAGGTTAACTCAACATATGAGGTCAAGGCACCAGGATTTGCAAATCTTACTTAGCTTTGTCTCGATATAGGGGCTGGGCTCCAGTTTTACTTCAAAATTAATTTGCCACCTTGAATGGGCAACTTTTATGTCTATTTTCTGACATGAGACTTGTACAGGGTGATTTCTCCAATAAGTAAAACTGGGTCGGCGGGGTTGAGGGTTGAGTGGGGGTTTTGCTAATTTATCAAGGACAGGTGGACAAATTGATTTTATAGCTTTCTGCTTTACTTAGGTGAAGTGAGGTAGATGTGGTTGTAGAATTTGCAAGGGTATAACGTAGATCTCCTAACTATGAAATTTTTTTGGTGTTGACTGTTAGCTTGATTTCTTTTTCCTCCTTTCCATTCCCTTACCATTTTCTTGTTATTTTCCAAGTAGTTTTTATTTATTTATTTATTGGTTTTAATTTTTGTTATATAACTTTCATTGCCCCCGAAAAGTGGAGGGCACAGATGGACAACTTGCTTTGTAAGATATTTTTAAGGATATATTTTTTCTAGATTATTGTTTTTGTATTATTATCATCAATATATTATTGGTAAGAATTTGCACCATTTTCCCCCATTGAATAAGATATTATTGGATACATCCTATTCCTACAGAAAAATTAAATTGATTGGATATACTACTTTATTGAAAGGATACAACTTTGTTAAATCAGGTTGAGTTGTTCAAACACCCCCATCTGTTGCTGCTGCAAGTAAGAAATTCCATCTTCAAGCTTCCTGGCGGTCGCTTAAGACCAGGTGAATCAGGTAAATAATCATTTAGATGTTTGTGTCAAGTTATCCTACATCCTTGAAAATTTTAAGGCTGAGGATTTTTTTTTCTGAAGTCTTTACTGAACTAGGAGTTTGGACTTTTCAGACATTGATGGATTGAAACGTAAACTGAAGAGGAAGCTTTCTCTCAATGAAGATGGTAATGAAATAGATTGGGAGGTATAACTAATATCTTTTACGTGCCTATATTGCTTCATTCTCAATGCTTCATGTGAAGATTAAATTGCTGTATTCTTTAGGTGGGGGAATGCCTTGGTATGTGGTGGAAGCCGGATTTTGAAACATTGCTGTTTCCATACTTGCCTCCTAATGTAAAACGGCCAAAGGTAGGTCATACACAGAGAAGCTATACATTGTGGGATTGTGGTGGCATATTTTCCTAAGTTCTTGTTTGTCTCTTTTTTTCTTAGGAGTGCACAAAGCTCTTTCTTGTGAAGCTACCAGTGAGCCAAAAGTTCATTGTACCAAACAACATGAAATTGCTTGCAGTGCCATTGTGCCAGATTCATGACAATCAGAAGGTAGATATCCTTTTTATGATAGGTGATTTTGATGGATATGTGGGCATCCTGTTGAGATAAAATAAGACGAATGTGTTTAACTGAGTAAGATCTGAGGTCTATTAAAAGTATTTTTCTATAGGTAGTTATTAGAATAACAAAACCAACAAAAGAGGGAATGGTATTTATTCATAATTGCTCTCATTTAAGTCCATTCATTAATAAAATATTTGAAATCAGGGGATTTGGTCATTTGATTTCTTCATATTTGTGTATTTAAAATATATTATCAGAGTTAGACTTTTTTCTTATTTGGGCTTTAGTTTCAAAGGAATTTAAAGACTCTTCTTTTTATCTTTATACATGTTAAATTGGAGGGATTTTGGGCTAATTTTTTATAGTTTGTTTTACCTTGGGTCAAGAAAGCTAATATTATCTTTGACACAGTTTTTGTGGCTGTCTTGTAGATTTGTTCCCCTCTGCCTTTTTGATTTCTTGATGGATTTCTGGTCCACTCATGTACCTATTCCATTTTTTCTCAGAATAGTTTAACAGTTTCTTATAAATTTTTTATTTTAAAAAGAGAAGAAGAAAAATCTGTTTTCAAATGCCGACTATGATGCTCTGAAGTATTGGATCTCCTTGGACATCCAATTATATGATTTTCTAAAGATACTTTTGCTGGCGAATTTTATATTTTTACACTTTTGTATGTTGTAGACATATGGACCAGTAATATCAGGAGTTCCGCAGCTGCTATCGAAATTCTCATTCAACATTATCGACTCTTAAAACAGGTCTGTTCATGGTAATGATCTGGCCAAGGAAACTTACAGAGAATAGTAAGGATGATGTGTATTTGGAAAAGTTGGCTAAGGCTTCTAATTTTTTATGAAGTTATGAGAGACCCTTATATATAGTATAGTGTTTTACAGGTGATACAATTGTCATGTTATACGCAACAATAAGTTTGTTTTTGGGCGTGTGAATCTTTTGTATAAATATTTGAATGCCTTGATCCTGAGAGTCCAGTGAGAAGCTATAACAAATATTCACCATTTTTGTTTTAGTTGCCAGTGAATAAAGTATGTATGATACATCTGATATTTTATTTAGCTGTGTGTAAATGCTTTAGAAAATGGTAAAGACTTCTTACAGTTGCAGAGGAAACAAATTCGCAATTCTTTACCAGTTGAGTTTTCCCCACCGTTGGAAGCATAGTGATTTCTGAGGGATATGGGAGATAAAATCTTTTGTATTAAGCAATTTAAGATTGTCTTCTTCTCTCTACCATGTTAGCTTAGGATGGTAGATTTACTAGCCTTATGAAGCTTATTGGTTGCTGGTAGTTTATAGGTTTAGCGTGTACACATTTTTTATAATTAATTTCCTCAGTATTATTTTATGAACTTTGATGTTTTCAAGTGAAAAGAACCCCTATTGACTTGCTTGAATGCTGCCTTTTCGCATAAACTATTGTGAATCTTTCTTTAAGACTTTTAAGTCTTTAACTACTAGGTAATGGTTCACATTTATAATGATTGTGAATCTTTAACAGCTAGGTAACGGCTCAAACCTCTTTTTGTATTGAGATGTTGCTATCTGAGGAATGTTACGGCAAAGGGGTAAAAATATCACCTTTAATTACCATCGGAATTGGTTTGCCTTCCTTACATGATTGGGAGCCAACCCAATGGTAATTTCTGGGAGTAATGTTATCCCAAGTAAGTTAACAGTCTTTTGCATCACATATATTTTGGCCGTCTCTTTAAATGTCAAAAAGCTGAGCAATTGCTGCATATTCTTCCTAGTTACAGACTGCAGGTGTGTTATTCTGCAGTGGGCACACTGAAGATGTTTCCCAAAAGTAAGCCTAACTTGGTGGTATGATGAACTTACATAGAATTATACCTCAAGGAATTGACTTGACGGTCAAGGGGGCTTGCCTCCTTCCTTGAGTTTCTGGATTTAAATTTTAAAGCTACTTACTACGATAGCATTGTAGTTTATTTGATCATTTAAACTTGTAGGATGTTTAATGGACATTGAGAATTAATTGAGGTATATACAAGCTGACTTAGACATCCCGATTACCAAAAAAAAAAAAAAAAACTTTCATAGAATTATTCAAATCATAATATTTATTGGTGTTTCTTCTAATTTTTGGTTGACCTCTTCTTCATCCATAGTTAGTACTTGTCGCATTTCCCTTGTATCTTCCAAACTAGGGTTATTGCTTCATTATTTGCGCAGGCAGCCATTGATTCATTGTTGACATATATAGCTCAAATGAGCTCATTGTTCTGCCAAATTCTAGCATTGCCATTACCAATTATCTGATATTTTACATCTTTTACGTATCGAAATCAATCCGTTAATGGGGTTAGACAAAAATTGCCAATTTAATTCCTGGCAACAATAAAAACAGGAAGCGAGTTTTGGATTATTGGCTGCTTCTAAACAGCGTGTAAACATTTGGTGGGGATGACCCACTTGGTGGCCGCCAAAGAGACAGTGAAGATATTATTAGAAAAATATTCCATTGATTGACTGACTTTCCTATCTTTCTTGACTGGCCAACCCCAATCCTTTTGCCCACCAGAAAATGAGAAAATAAGAAAATACATTAAAACGACCAACAGCAACTGTGAAAACGAAACACGTTATTTGACCTCCTTGCAGACTTTAAAATATAATTAAGGTTACTATGAATGAAGAAAGAGTAACAACATTTGTTTATTGACTTTGGGATGTCAACAAGTCTTGAAGTTCATAAATTAATAAACCATATTAAACGTTGAAGCTATATGCATTAATTGGTTGAATAATTCATTATATTATCATTTGAAACTCAAATTAGACCCATAACTCTCATCCAATTTTTCATACATCTATTTATTATGCTATATTTCTTCTATATAATTATATGAAAAAGAGACCATCCTTGAAGTACAATCATAATTGTTTTATTAAATCCTTTCTCAAGATTAAAAAAATAAACTTATTAAATAAATTTAAGTTTTGTTTTATATTTTGAAAATAATTTCATAGAGGTAGTTAAATTAGTTCAAAAAAGTCTTGTAAGTTGTCAGAATATTAAATTAATAGACATTTTTCAAATAGAAAATAATATTAGATTTCATAAAGGATACTTGGAGCTCTGAGTTTTAAATGTAAAAGACCTGGGCAAGTCACAATTGCATTCAAGAAAAATGGCCCTCAAGTTAAGGGAATTAACAGGGCTATGAAGAAAAATGACCCTTCAATTTAAGGAAATTAACAAGGCAATGAAGAAAAATGACCCTTCAAGTTAGGGAAATTAACAGGGCGACGAATAAAAATAACCCTTTTTAAGTTAAGGGGATTAATATTTAATAGAGTAAACAACATATTCCCACCCAAGGTTTGACGAAATCTTATGTTGGTACCACAGGTTCCATTTATTCCAGATTCACACCCTTACTGTTAACATTTTTTAGGATAGTGAGGGTGCAATTACCATAATGCCCTTCAACCCTAAATTAATAAATTAATTTTAACCCCGAAATTACTAAAATTATAAAATTAACCATCTTATTTTGAAATTACATCAATTACACCCTCAGTGATTGTGCACCGTCTCGGTTTTCACCGGATCTGGGCTATTTCTGATGCCAGCGAAACCCCTGGTCACCTCCATCACCTTCCCCATCATCCATCGTCCAAAACCCCTCTAGTTTCTGACTCATTGGGCCCTCCGATCGCCGGTGCCGTCAACCTTAGGTTTTCGTCGTTCTTCATTGGATTCTGGTGACGAAAATCTAATTCGACGTCACCACTGCAACCAGCATCTCCTAATCTACAAAACCCCTATGTCCCAACAACCGTTTAGTGGCCATTCGCCGGTGCACCGACGAAAACCAGTCGCATGTGGCGGCTGTCGTGGCTGGAGATCGACGAGTGATGAGGGGTTGTCAAGCGTATGGTTTTGTAGAGGGGGGGATGAGGGTTCAAATGGTGGTGACAAGGGTGATTTTGGGTGGAAGAATCGTCGAAAAAGAGCGAAAAACAATGACGGTGATGTTGCTAACATGCGCCGGATTTTTGTTAAGGGCGGCGATTTGCTAATGTGTGCCTCCTCTGTGAAATGACCAATTTACCCCTGAGCCGTTATATTTAACCATTTCCAGTTACTTTAAGGGTGTGAATCTGGAATAAATGGAACCTGTGATACCAACTTGGGATTTCGTCAAACCTTGGGTGGGAATATGTCGTTTACTCTATTTAATAGGATTGTTATTATACAGGAGCATTTTAGGCCATGTTAGGTTATGTTAATGTATGTATGTTATTGATTTGGAAAGCTTATTTGAGTATATTGATCAGAAACTCAAAAAGTCAAAAAGTTAACCACAACATTTGGTTCAGAGGTAAAAAATATAAAGGAAAGAAGGGAGGATCAAAGTGGCGCGGGTAAACTAGCGAAAGGTAAACGAAAAGTCTCATCTTCTTCCTGGTATCAGTCATGGTGTGACTGGTCTTCAGTCTTCGCCAACCAAAAACAACATACTTGTTTTAGTCTAACCACATTTATTAATCTCACATTTACACTTCACATTTTGTTTCTAATTTATCCCTTTCTATAACCCTAGACTCTTTTTATTTTTGGGTCCAACACCGGCGCGGCTCTGCTTCAATAAAACGGCCGGGAGAAAGCAAAAACATGAAGAAAGGAGGAGGCTTAAACGCTAATTTCAAGCTCAAGCTTGCTGTTCCTGCTTCTGATGAAGTCTCCTTTGCTACCTTCCTGTATATAGCTTTATCTCTATTTGCATAAACGTTTTTTTAATTAATAATTTATGTGTTCCGCTGATTTCATTCATGAATTTCTTTTATAGAACGAGAAGCGGTACGTTTATGGACGGAGATCTGCTCGTTAACAGAGACGGAGTTCGAATTGTCTCTCAAAGTCGAAGTGAAGCTGTACGATATTTCTAATTAATTTCATAATTATGTTTAAGTTCTTTCAATATGCTTAATTAAACTATCATTTATTAAAAGAAACAAATTCTTTTGTTCTATTATGGAGCCTTGATTTAATCCTTCCCTTTGCGTGGTTACAATCGTGATATTCGGTGTGTATTTACTGATGGTGTGTGGCGACTAATATGTTAGCATTGGTTGATCTGTTTCTTGATAGAGTGGTTTCACTTTCAACGATCATCAGTTCTTGCTTTTATCGAGTTTTGCTATTTCATGCCCTGCTACTTATTATTTATTTGTTTATCTAGATTCCAGTTCTCTATTTCAACTCTTAATTTTGCATATGCGATTCTGTGATATATGTCTAAAGATGAGTTTACTTTATGCTTACTGTAATTTGTTGCCTCACTACTAATATGTGTGCGCCTCTTTGTTCAGCCACCACCTATTAAAGCATCTGACAACCAGTTAAATTTGGAAGATATAGACTATATTAAAGTCGTTGGAAAGGGAAATGGTGGAATTGTGCAATTGGTGCAACACAAATGGACTGGCCAGTTTTTTGCATTAAAGGTATTATTTCATCTGCACTTGCTGTTCTTGTGCATTATTCATCAACTAGTTTTCAATTCAAATATTTCTGCATTGGTTTTGTCCTTTAATGAATATGAACATTATCTTCTTTATAGTCTTATATACAGCTTATTAAGCATTGTTATTTAGCAAAACATTTATTAGTTTATCATTTATATCATTTGCAATGGTTTAGAATTGAACTTCCAAAGTAATTGAGGCTCTAATTATTTTAATGAAAATCTTTCTTGTGAAAAGGTGGTTTTGGTGGAGAACATTTTCAACTAATATTTTAGTATTTGCCATATCTAGAAATTTTAATGGGGAAATATTGCTGCTGATTGACAATAGTGGTTGATAATCATTGGTGGATCATTAATTGACAACAACCAGTGATGGTTATCAAATAGAAAAAAAAAATTTGACAGCACTGTTAATGATCATTTTTGGTGATTGGCCACATTTGTGGTTGATGTTTAACAATGCTCATCATGACATTAATGATTGTTGGGAACCAACAATGGTTTCAAATGATGGATTTGGGTGGGATGGTTACTTATGATGAATGTGAGACCTACTTATGTTTTTGGTTTCTGTCAAATGGGTGGTTGTCGGTAGTGGTTTCAGATGAGTGCCAGTAGCTGCAATGACTATCGATGTTCATCTGGTAAAATGAAAGCTTTCCACAAATATCGGAATTTAACTACAAACTTGAAAAGCTTTAAGTCGGTTTATGAAATTTAAACAGGATTTTTGATCAATTGTATTAATCAAACTTTCGTTGTTTATCCTAATGAATATGATGATTGAATGGAGATTTGTTGAGATAAAGATCACATCATGGTTTTTGGCCTCAACCAGTTTTCTCTACATGGCTCCTGTCATTGCCGTGTGAGATATCGTGTATTATGGCAGTTTATTTTTTTTCAAATGTCATATTTGCTTGCAGTAGGCTAGAAATTCTAAATTGTGCAGAGTCCTGCATTCCCTTGTAAGAGGGGTAAGGTGGATACCTCTTTCTAGGCCTCTTGGGTGCTTCACACTGCCCATATGCTTTTATCTGTTCGGATTTTACAGGGTTCAGTGCCGAAGTATGCACTAGAATATTGAAAAATGTTGTCAAACTGATATTATTTCATTGAATGCATGATCTTATTGTGGTCGTTTTGTGTGAATATAGGGTGTAAGATGTATCTCAACTCTCAAGAACTATTCAATCTACCCTCGCAATTTTAACTGATAAACCTATCAACATTATATATATCTCATGCCTTAGTTTCTTAAAATTTTATGTGGCTTTTCTGGTCAGCCTTCCTTTAGACCTGCTTGGTAGGCTACTTGCATCTGTTTATAGGACCATCTTCAAATTGATTCTTGAACCTATAATGAGTATTTATTTGAATTCAAATTTACATGCCATGATATCACTGAAAGCTATATTGTTTGTACTCAATCTTAAGTTCTGAAATATTCTCCCTCTTTAGGTTATTCAAATGAATATTGAGGAGTCCGCACGGAAACAGATTGCACAGGAATTGAAAATTAATCAATCTTCACAGTGTCCATATGTTGTGGTGTGTTACCAATCTTTCTACATTAATGGTGCCATTTCAATCATTTTGGAGTATATGGATGGTGGATCTTTAGCGGATTTTCTGAAAAGTGTTAAATCGATCCCAGAACCGTATTTAGCTGCCATCTGTAAGCAGGTGGAAAACTCATGAATTTTGTTGATTACAGGTGTATACCCCAGTTGCTTTGGTGTGAAATATTTACCCCTTTTCCTTTTTTCTGATCGACGCAGGTGCTTAGGGGTTTGTTGTATCTTCATCATGAAAAACACATCATCCACAGGGATTTAAAGCCTTCTAATTTGTTGATAAACCATAGAGGGGAAGTCAAGATTACTGATTTTGGTGTGAGTGCAATAATGGCAAGCACCTCCGGACAGGCAAATACTTTTGTTGGCACATACAACTATATGTCTGTGAGTAAATAGTGACATGTTTTTGGCTTGTTGATGAATGTTTTTTACTTCCTTTTGGCTGCTATGGCACACCTCTATTCCTCTTGTGATTGGAAATTCATTAGTTGTTACTTTTCACTTGTGTTTCCTTATAGCCTGAGAGGATTAGTGGGGGCAGATATGGGTATAAAAGTGACATTTGGAGCTTGGGATTAGTATTGCTTGAGTGTGCAACTGGTCAGTTCCCATACTCCCCACAAGAGCAAGAGGAAGGATGGACTAGTTTTTACGAGCTTATGGAAGCAATTGTTGACCAACCACCACCTTGTGCACCTTCTGATCAGTTTTCTTCAGAGTTTTGCTCATTTATTTCTGCATGGTAATAATTTTACTGGTCACAACACCCTTAGAGTTACTGCTTATGACTATTTCCCATATTATTATCAATATTGAGTAACCGATCTGAAACTTTTGAAGACTACAGGAAAAGTTTCTGTGATAATAGTACGTTTACTCTAATATGTCCATCCATGTGTATGGATGAATTTATTATCACCTAAACAAGGAAATATATATGTCGTCTTTTTGCATAAGTGGTTACAGATGCACAAAAATATTGTTAACTTTTTGTTAATAGCAAGATTTTTTCAAGGATTTGAACATATAACCTATTTGGTCTAATAGGCATTGATATAACGTTGGGTGATTTTTTATAAAAAAAAATTGTAAGAAATACCCCAATAATAGTATTTAAACTCTTGGAACGACTAATTAATTCCTGGTTCATCAAGTTTTCATCAAAAGCAATTTCATTCAAAACCTTGTCAAGCCTTAAATTCCTTCTAATTTTTAAATTCTGTTACTTTCAGAGTTGTATTTCGTTAATTGGTGTATATTATTTGCCTGTATATCATGTAACTTTTTTGACATTATGGTGTTACTAATTCCTGACCTGGGGTTGTCTATTTCAGTGTACAAAAAGAACCAAGAGACAGACCGTCAGCACAGGAACTTTTGGTATGTAAATCCTGTCTTCCTTTGTCCCTTTACTGTCTTGAGTACACAACTTTTATGTGGAATATGTGCTGAACTGATGTTTTTAAATTTTATTCTGCTTTTCTTTTTTCTCTTAATGTGAAACCCAGGAACATCCTTTCATGAGCATGTATGATGACTTGAATGTAGATCTGTCCGCTTACTTCACCAATGCAGGATCTCCACTTGCAACCCTTTGAAACTTGAGTGGTACGTCGAATGTTTGGATACAGTACCTATATGCAAAAGAAATTTCTATGTTTCTATTGAGTTCTTTTGAGAATACTCTATAACATTCAGTTTGGACTTTTTCAGTTACAAGTGCATGCTTTGAAATGTCATCAGTTGTATGGTCTTGTTGTGTATCTGTTTTACTTGTATAATGAGTTAATATTTTTCTCCCTAAGTTCATGCTTTTTAATGAAGAATAACATCTATTTTCCACATGGACATCCAGATTTTCTTTTTGGTTTTTGTAAATTTGAACCTCAATCCTTTATGTAAACTTCCAACAAGTTTTACAAATTTTTTAAAGCACTTCTATCAATAATTGTCTGATCTTATTCCTGAGCTGTATTGGATGCAATCAATAAGATGCAATTCTTTCAGTTTAGATAAGATTTTGAGACAGTATTGCTAGTTATATGATCAAATTCTTGATGAGGACTGGTGGCTTGAAGCATCCAAGTTAAGTACCACCTTATGATGTGGGGCTCAGTATTATAAAAAATTGGAATGATTCAAATGTGTCCATAGTTGTTTCTGTTTTAAGCTGTATTCCGTTCACAGTGCTGCATCTGCTGAGCTGATATGCTCGGGCAACATCTACTTTCCACCTTATAATTTACTAGCCTGTTGCCATCTGAACTTTGTTGCAGGATTTAATTGTTGAAGGAGTTCACATTTCGCAAACTAGCTTGAGACCCAAACGTGTGGGGAATTTAGTAACAGAGATTTTAGAAACCTGGTGAAAGAATCCTAGATGTCTTTGCGGTTGAATTCTAATAATAGTCTGTACCTCAGAGAACCTTAGTACCAGAAGCCTTGAAGCAAAGTTTCAGCTAACCAGGATAACCAGGTTTTATGATTGCATTGTTTGCCATGATGTCAACTACTATAATTAATTGTATGAACTCAGATAGAGATGTACCGTTTTATAAAATGAACTAAATTTTATTTGTTTATTTTCCTGCCGGAGTTGCTAATGCATAGGCAACTGTTTGAAAAATGACAATTTATCTCTTTTTTACAATCCTGCTTTTGACACCAAAACGCAGGTATTGAAGATATGTATCATTTTGGTCAGCCTTAAAGTTGTTGGTGCTGCTACTATTCCGGAATAACTTAGCCATGATGAAGAATTAAATGTTATACTAGTGATTGAAGATACAGTAGAGCATTTTTGTTAAAATAATACTGAATTTACTAAATACCAGAATTATTCATACAAAGCTGTTATGGTGCCATTGCCCATTTTAAAAATTGATGGGCTGTGCATCATGTTACTCAATAGTAATATTAAGAATTTGCTTTACCGGTTTCTGAAAGGGAACAACTATTATGATTATCCCTAGGTTTTTCTCTTGAACTTCCTTTGAGCTTTCAAGTCCACTACAATTACAGTGATGTTGTCTTTGCTTCCCTTGTGGATGGCAAGCCTTGCGAGATAATCTGCTGCAGCTTGAGCTGCAGGATCGACTCCTTCGCCACATTCTGCAGACAAGCCATCACTGTGCTTTTTGTGCCAAAGAAGGATTCGCCTTCGGGCAACATCACAGGCTTCCTCATTTGTCATCACATCCCATAAGCCATCGCTAGCTAAAATAAGGCAATCATCTTCTTTTGCTCGAGGAACAAGCATCACATCATCTGGGTCTGGAATTATCCATGGTTTCAAGTATCTATCACCTGATCACACAGTACATTATGCAACGGATTTAGATTTAGAAATCATATAAATGCCAAACCAAGTATTAGGATTTATAAACACAAACACATACATACCTATGGACCTTGACATAGCAAGAACACCAAAAACACGCGACCCATTCCACTGTATGACCTTGCCTCCTGCAGCTTCTATTCTTGCCAATTCATCCTCTCTATCTGGCTATTAACACAAAAATATTAAAAATATGAATATTTCTGAGAATGGCTAATGCCAAAAACTAGGAAAAACAATAAACCCATACTTTGTGGTCTACTGACAACGGCATGGGCACTTTTCCACGACAAAGAACTGCTCTTGAATCACCACAATTTGCCACTATTACGTGGGTTGGTGATATTATGGCAACCACAGCAGTAGAACCAACAGTTTCAGGGGCAACTGGTTCTGCACAACCCTTCGATGCATTAGCTCCTGCAATCTCAGCATCAACTTTCAAAAAACAATTAGTGAAGGCTTTCTTCCAAAGCTCCTCATAGTTGCCCCCAAAAGTTCCTTCACTCAATCTTGCCTTTTCAGTTTCTATCTCCTCCGCCAACGCCATATGGATGCGTTCGCGGCAGTAATTAGCAACCTGTATGTAAACAACACTCGATATTTATATATCCTTTGAATCTAGCAAGAACGTGAAGACTACACAAGAATCAGAAAAATACCTGAAACCCTCCATGCCCATCATAGACGCCAAAGAAATGGCCTGTTAAATGACCTGGAAGAATCGGATTCGTGCCATCATTCATAAGCATTTGAGTTGGAATTTGTAAAAATCCTGGTACAACTGCTACAGAATCTTCCATTTCTGGTCTTTTACCACAGATAGATGTATACCCCCAACGGGATACGTTCTCCAGTTGAAATGATACTCCCTGGCTTCCTGCTCTGCATATTTTCTTTTCCTGTTGCACTTCAGGACCCGATTCTCCAGAGTTATTCCCATCAACAGAAATTTGCTCAGCCTTGACCTCAACATTTGGTTCATCAGACTTGACTTTAACTTCACTATTGTCATCAATTTGCCTCCTATCTAGTGTTATTGGTAAGTCAGTCACAGAACTAGAATCCAAAGCTAAAAACTCCTCCCTAGAGATGCTAATTGGATCACTAACTACAGACGGAGAACCTGAATCATCAAACAAACGGTTACCACCTAGAGACATGGAATCATCTTTCCGATCATCGGATTCAGTGGAATTCTGACTACTTTCTTTTTCATTTAACGTTTTTGACATTCCACTATGATTATTTCTCCTGTTATATCCATTATTTCCACAAGATAACAAGCTTGAAGTGTCTGCTAAAAACTTTAGCCCAGAAATTTCCATTGCTGACTCGTTGGAGACTATGTTACTAAGCCTAAATGGAACAGCTACCGCCGTTGATATATCCTTCATTGGTTCTCTTCTACCTCCAAAACCGTCCAAAATCATCTTCACTACTATTCTTGAGCTCTCTTTTTTCCTCTTTACACAATTTAATTGGTCTGAAACGATAAAAAAAATTTGTCGATAACCCAGAAAAGAACTGATCACTAGTAGGCTTACGTAATTAACAGATTGCAAAAGACATTCAAATGACAGTAACACAAGTGATCTTCTATATAATCTTTGTGGCGATCAAAGAATATAGATATAGACTAATCAAGAAAACTAATACACGTTAGAAATGGATGCATCTAGACTCTAGAGAAACTTCTATATTAAATCCAATGTAACAGAGAAAAAGAAAGATCGATGAGACAAAATCTTCTTTTTCAACCATTAAACCATCAAGCGTTTGATGAGACGGATAGGAAAATTAAATGTCGTATCTTCACCATACCAAGAACCAAGGGAGATAAAAAGACAAATATAAGTTCATGAAAGAGGAGTTGAAACCAAAATAGAAAACCCCAGAAAAATATAACCAAATCGAATTCCCTGGATTTGAAGCAACATATCTCAACCTCTTGAAATATAGGTTCTTTCTCTTTCTTCAATTACTCACAACTAACCAAAGTGAAAAAATTAAAAAAGAAAAAGACACTGAGTCATCAACTAGCACCTACTCTTCCATTTTCATAAGCTCTAGAGATATCTTTCTTCAGACTTGTAAAAACATTTTCAAAACACAAACTACTTCAGAAACGAATTAAAAAAAAAAAAAAAGAAAAACACATGCAAGAATTCCTGAAAATAACGGAAGCAGAAACAAGTAATAAGATACGTTACTAAATATTATTAGAGAAGATGATGGGAAGAGTGAAATGGGTTTTAGGAAAACACACACGTGTCCATGAAAATAAGAAAAGTAGAATAAAAAATGAGAAAGGAGTGGGACCAAAGTGTCACGTAAAGGTAGAGGTCGGTGACCAAATAAAAAGATGACGTGTAAGGAAGACGAAGATAGAGTTAAAGGAGTTTAGACAAGGGAGATGGATGAAGGTTTGGGAAATATGCATTGCACTTGAAACTCTCTTTTTATTTTATTTAATCGTAAGAACAACAAGCTGACACCATTCTCAACTCTCAACACTCAACTCTCAACTCTAACCGTACAACTTCTCCCTTCTTCTTTCGACACTTACCTTTTACTTTTCTCATCCATTTCTTTTTAATATCTTCCTTGTATTTTTTTACATTCAAACGCTCTTGTTAGTATGAATCGGAATTAAAGAATCATTTTGTAGTTCAACCAAACACACTAACTAATTTTAAAATATTATTAATGGTCTTAATGTAATAATTAAGGACACGTATTCATGTATTAAATTTTGATAAAAATTTAATATCTTTATGTTTTTAATACAGTATATGCTTTAAAAACATGTATACATTATTCTTATAAGAGTAGACAACATATTCCCACTCAAAGTTTGACGAAATTCTAAGTTGATATCCCTAGTTGCATTTATTTCAGATTATCACCCTTAAAATAATACTGTTAGTGATTGTTAGAGTTTGCCAGAAATGATGAGTCAGGTCAACAAATGAAGGTATGAGTTTTATAGAAAAGGTTGTGGGGAGTCCAATAGTGGTCTCGAAAGTGATTTTGGATTTTAGAATCAGTAGAAAAAGCCAAAACCATCGGCTTGAATGTTGCTAACGTGAGCTACTTTTTAACTAACATAAGCCTGTCTTGGGCCGAAGAAAGCGTTAGCGCACTTTAGGGTACTAACGTGCACCATCATATAGTAAAAAGTTGGGAATCTGTTAAAATAAAGGAAACGACGTTACTTTAAAGGTGAGAATTTAGAATAAATGCAACCAGGGGTATCAACTTTGGATTTCGCTAAACCTCGGGTGGGAATATGTCGTTTGCTCATCTTATAAAGATAAAGAAAAGAGTTTTATAGTTTCATAATTTATAGATTCTCATTTTCATCCTAAACTACCTCTGTTGCCTTGTTTTGTGAATTGGGGTTAAACTTTCAAGCGAAGAAGATTATATTTTTATCAATGGAAAATGTTAGATATTTAATTAGATGTTAAATTGAATTACTAATCCGTTTCATAATAAATTGGTAAAATTATGAAATTTTCTTTAGACCCAAACACGCTATTTTATGTAAGAAATTTTAAATAACATTGTTATGCCTGAAAAAGTAGGGCTGACGCGGAGTCTTGTCAGTATGGGATGGTCAGAACTCGGGAAGGTCCTACGACCGTTCAGACGCACCCATGTCTCATAATGACGTAAGTGGCATGCCCCTGTCAGTGTAGTGGGTGAGTACCAGGTTAGCGGATGGTTGGAAATCGTCCACGTGTCCAATCCCTGCATAAGTCGAGGAAAATCACTCAGGCAAGTGAGCATTGGGACGCAGAGAAGGACTTGCACGGTATCCACCCACTTGCAGATTTAGTAATCATGACCTTGGTTTATCCCACTATAAATAGAGGTCTTCTCTCTCATTTGCGGGACTAGCTAGTTTCACTCTAGAATAGCTCTCTCTCTCTTTCTCTCTCTTGTATTCTCTAAGCTATAACTCAGCTCGCTGAACGCAACCTGACCTTACTCTCATTAATACAATATCAATAGACGTAGGATTCGCTTTTGAGCATCCAAACCACTTTAAACATTACTTTTCACTCTTTATTTAACTAAATATTCTCATATCGCGTGTGACTTCTAAGTTCGCTTAACATTTCTCACGTGCGGATAGTTGGTGTCAAAATCCAGCATCAATAAACACATATAATAATAAATCATAATTAAGCTAACACAACACAAGAGAGAGGAAGAAAACTAGTCGAAAAATTA